TTCCTTCCTTCCTTCCTTCCTTCCTTCCTTCCTTCCTTCCTTCCTTTCTTTCTTTCTTTCTTTCTTTCTTTCTTTCTTTCTTTCTTTCTTTCTTTCTTTCTTGTAGGTCTGGGGTTATAACAGACTCAGTCACAGGGTATCCCATGTGGTAGGCAAATGTTCACTCACCAATGCAACACTCTCAGCCCCTTAATCACCCAGACAACAAATAATCTGGAAGACTATGTTTTCAAAAGAATTAGTTGTTTCACCATATTTAAAATACATATTAGGGAAAAGCATTTAATAAAATTATAAATATCACAGATTGAATGGTAAGTGAATCCATCTTTGAAAATGTACTCCCATTTGAAAGAGAAAAGATGATAATTGTTTTAAGCTAAAAATAGATCTTAATGACTGTCTTTTGTAAGACATTTCTCAGAACTTGGCAAATCTTTCTTCTGATTCAGAGTTTATATGTTGCTGTGATTTTTCCTTTAACTCCCTCTCTAAGACTGATCTATGAAGACCTTGGAAATGCTTTGTTTAGGAGAAGCCGAGGTAGGAGTGTAGGAAGCAGCTGCAGCTTGTGTTGCTTGGGAACACTCCTGCATCCTGCCGTCCTGAGACCTCCAGGAAGATTCACAGTTGGGATTTAGCAAGTGTTTGAGCGATTATTTTCTTTCAGTTCTCAATAGTACGAGTTTCATGTGTGTCCTTACTTCAATAAAGTTCAAAATGGTGCCTTTTCTGAGGTGCATTGCTAGCACACCCACAGTAATGCATCAATGCAGTAATGCAGCAATGCAGCAATGCAGTAATGCATTAATGGCTCTGCTGATTTGAATCAGAGAGTGAGCCAGTAAACGTCAGTTGCTTCATTTTCTTGCTTCTTCTTCTTGTTTTCTTTTTGTTTTGTTTTTTGTTTGTTTTTTGTTTTTGTCTGTTTTTCTTTTGTTTTATCTATTTGTTTGTTTGTTTGTTTGTTTGTTTAGGTTTTTAAAAACAGGACTTCTCTATGTAACTTTGGCTGTCCTGGAATTCACTCTGTAGATCAGGCTGGCCTCGAACTCAAAGAGATCCACCTGCCTCTACCTCCCAAGTACTGGGATTAAAGCCACCACCACCTGGCACCTAGCTGCTTCATTTTCAAAGCCATGTCCCCAGTGAGAAAGATTTAATATTGTTTTACCTGAAGTCACTGACAGTTGGTTGAAAATATCAATAGCTTAATATACATATGCATATTTCCCTTAAATTTTAAGACATTGATATTCTGACATGAATTTGTTTTGAGGTTACTACCTTGCAAATGCAGCAACAGTGACAAAATTCTAGATTTATACTCTATTCTTTCATCACTATTGAACTTAAAAATAAACCAGAAGCCACTTTAGAAGACATAAGTGCCAGCTGATGTGAGTCCACACAGGATGCTCTTTGAGGACCACTGTCACAGCAGACATGAAACCAAAGCCTGCATACTGCAGTATGCCAGTTGAAAATATTTTAAAATTAAGTATTTCCTTCAAAAATGGTACATTTTAATAATGAGATCTTAATTTTTGAAGCAGATTCCAGGTTGAACAGGAAGATATTTACCCTGAAGGCTATCACATCAAACCACAAGCCAGCTGTCAGCATCTAAGTCATTTATGACTTTTCTGGTCATAAAATACATACTCTAGACGGGCGGTGGTGGCACACGCCTTTAATCCCAGCACTCGGGAGGCAGAGCCAGGTGGATCTCTGTGAGTTCGAGGCAGCCTGGGCTACCAAGTGAGTCCCAGGAAAGGCGCAAAGCTACACAGAGAAACCCTGTCTCAAAAAACCAAAAAAAAAAAAAAAAAAAAAAGCTTACTCTAGGAATCCTTATAAAAACTGGGGGATATGTTGGATACGTGTGGCAACTGGGCATTCCATGGGCTTGCAGGGTTCTGACGGAAGTTCTTCAAACACACTCCAGGTCTTGTGCCAGAGGCGCCCTTGCCCTCCTCTTCCTTCTGGGTACCACCTGGATCTTTGGGGTTCTGCACGTGGTACATGCTTCTGTGGTGACAGCTTACCTCTTCACAGTCAGCAATGCCTTCCAAGGGATGTTCATTTTCTTGTTCCTATGTGTTTTATCTAGAAAGGTAAGGATTCTAAAAATTTTGGTCAAAACTAGATTATATTTGTATAGCAGGTTACCAAACTGCCAGAAAATGTTTAGCCTTGAAGATTTTTGATTTCTACCTTTTATTGCCTAATTGTAGTCCATTTTAAATATACAATGACTAAAATAATTTTACTTTAAAATAACAGAATATAGCTGTCCATATCCAAATATGCCTTGCAAAAAGCTTTGTTACTAAATATATATAAATATAAAAATTATAATTATAATATAATATAAGCTATATAGCTTATATTCACTTGAGTATATTCTTATATTAAAACAGCAATAAGACTTCAGTAAAGCAAATATTGTGATTTGAAAGTAATGCTATGAGATTGTCTTAATAATGTAGTGTTTTTTCTTTTCTCTTTCATCAAGATTCAAGAAGAATATTATAGATTGTTCAAAAATGTCCCCTGTTGTTTTGGCTGTTTAAGGTAAACAAAGAGAATTCCTGATAATTATAGCTCCAATGAAATGAAAACTCAAGCTTCAGATAACCCATGTGGAAAAGGCAACCCGTTCTTTCATTGTTAGTAATTAATTTCAAATTCATGTTTCTGTTCACAGTAAAAAGGATATAGTTAATGTGAGATAAAATTATGGACCAGAGAGCTACAGTGTGTTTTCCTACATGACATAGTTAGATATGTCAAAAATAGTACTGCAGATATTTGGAAAGTAATTGGTTTCTCTGGAGTGATATCACTGTGCCCAAGGAAAGATTTCTTTCTAACATAAGAAATATATGAATGTCCTGAAGGAAACCACTGCCTTGATATCTTTGTGACTCATGTTGCCTTTCAAACGAGTCCCCTACCACCTTAGTAATGAGTTCTGTTGCAGAAAGGAGAACATAAGAGAGTTGGAGGGGAGAATACAAAGCGCGGAAGAGAGCCTTTCTGACGAGGAATTGTCATCCCAATAAACTTGGCTTTCTCTCAACTTGATGAGAAAATTTCAAGATAAAATAATGGAAAAAAATACAACCTAGCAGTTTGGGAATTGGCCTGAACTTAAAAACCCAGACCTAAATTTACTGTATCCATGTTCATTTTTACTATTCTAAAAGAAAACAAAGAAAAATCCCTACAATGAAATATACAGAATGTATGTTCTTACATTAACATTAGATTTGAGTGTAAAATGTTTTTTTATTCTTCATATTGAGACTTCAAATGTATAGTCAGTAAAGTGCAAATTTGTCAAGCTATAATACTGTTTATGCCTGTACTGCAGATATAGAGTGTGAAGTATTTTGTCTACAATATTTTACTGTTGTGAAAATTATCTTTTAATATTAGAGCAATATACTTGAATACTTCATTGTTTTTAATCTTACAACTAGTATAATTCATGTTGTAACAATTCCTTTTAATTGACAGTTTTTAAGAGGGCATTGTAAATTTAAAGTATTCATAAAGTAAATTGTAATTTTTTTTCTGATCAGAAAAATGCACCATTAAAGCATTATTTGTAATGAAGTCACTGTGTACTGTAGGAGATTCATAGTGGATCTATTTGCTGACTGTTTGCTACTTACTACCTATCAAAGTCTATTTGTTTCAGTGTGTGTCTCCTGTCTAGTCTCTTATTCAAATGAAGAACAGATTTCTTTTCAGAAAGTCATTGTTCTGTATACCTTCCTGAGGATATGACTCATGGGACACTATGATTTTAATATCTATGGTTTTTGGGTGAAGCCTGACATGTCCTCTCCTGAAAATAAAAAGTCAGCTTGTGAAACAGTCCTGCCACTGTTTGGCTGGGATGTGGTCTCAAGAAGACCACTCACCAGCTAAGAAAGACTTTGCATTTCTAGAGTCTGTTAGACAATACACTTTCATTTTATCTCCCAATTTCTTACATGTTAAATCTGTGACCCAAGACTGCCATTGGCAGGGTATCAAAACCTAATCGTTTGTTCAATAGACACAAAGCTATCCCATGTGGCAGACAGAATATCCATCCCCAGATATCCATGCACTGCTCTTCAGAACCCAGCGGATGGTGGGGAGAAGGGGGAAGTAAGCTGGCAGTTGGCTCAGCTCATCTCAGCTGGAAAAGGATCCTGCTATCCCCGAGGAAGTCAGCATGAAGATGCTGTTATCTTAGTCTCGGTCACCCATTTTGGGCCTCCTATTTCCACAGCTGCAAGACAATAAAATTCTATTATTGAAGCCACTAAATTTGTGATCTTTTATTTATTTTATTTTATTTTATTTTATTTTATTTCACTGCATTCCATTTATGAGGTAGTTATAGGGAACTAAGACTGGGAATATTTATAGACTAACATCTTCAAATCAAGTTACTATTTATATCAAGGGTAAAACCATTTTCATGATTGTCCAGGTTCTCTGTCTCTTCACTACTTATGCATTGCCTCCTGGCCATGGGGCTGATATGGTAACAGTACTGAACACTACACTGTCCCGCTGTTCCAGGTCCTTGTGTCAAATATCACATACTGGAAGTCGGTTTAGAAATTTTCCCATGCAATTTCAAAAGAGTGTGGACAGTCATCAGAATCAGGCCACCAAACAGCTGTAAGGTTATGCTGTGCTGGGACTCAGGTTTTCCAGGACAGAGCTCCAGGGATGGGGGAGGGGGGTTGGTTTCGAGCAGTGTTTCTCTTTGTAGTTTTCGTGCCTGTCCTGGATCTCGCTCTGTAAACCAGGCTGGCCTTGAACTCACAGAGATCCACCTGGCTCTGCCTCCTGAGTGCTGGGATTAAAGCTGTGTGCCACCACCGCCTGGCTTAAACACAACCTTTTAACCCCTACTACATAGCACATAGTTTTAGAAGGAAGTTTCCCTGTGTCTCATAGCCATTTGGTCCAAAATAAACACACAGAGGCTTATATTAATTACAAGCTGTTTGGTCATTGGCTCAGACTTATTGCTAGCTAGCTCACTTATCTTAAATTAACCCATTTCTATTAATCTATGTATTGCCACATGGCCATGGCATTACCAGTCTGTTGGCATGTTGCTCCTGCAGTGGTGGGCTGGCATCTCCTATGACTGCACCCTTCTTCATCTCCATCTTCAGTTTGAATGTACCACCTAACCTTATGCTGCTTTGCTATTGGCCAAACAGCTTCATTTATCAACCAATGAGGGCAACACATATTCACAGCATACAGAAAGACCACCCACAGCACATAGTCACTGATAAAGACTGACATATACACTCATTTCCCTCCATAAACAAATGGTCACGGGGCTTGGAGGAGCTCAAGAGTCAGACAATATTTGCTCCTGGCCTCAAATAATAAGATAACAAAGATGTGTCAGAAAATCCTCTGACTGTGGAAACCTGCTATAAATAACCAATAATATCCCTTATACACATCTTTGTTTAATGTTACAACGTGTTTAGGAAAAATGTGTTTATATGCAGTGTGAAAAGTATACAGCAGTCAGGAAGCAAAGACTTTGTTGTCCCCCAAGGAAGCATGGCCAGCAAACTTCACATGTTAACTTTATGAGAGCACTATTTCTGTAGCCTTGTCAATCAATGCCAGTCAATTAAAACACTTAAAAGTAATCAATGACTATATTTGAAAATTGCCTGCACTCATCTTAAACTCCTTACCAACTATGATCCTCTATATGTCCTTTTTGAGCCCAGGCTTTATGTACACTGGACAAACACTCTAGCACTGGTCTATGCCCCCAGAACCTTACCTCAACTTGTCTACTTTCCCTAGCATGGAACCTTTGAGGAAGTCATGAATTATGAATTCAGAATGGCCAAAAAGAGCACCCCTTTGGGGCAGGGTTTTCTTCAACCTGGAATGCTTTCTAGCAAGCAAAGTACATCTATCACTCAAGGCCAACTTCTACAAAGCCGCAAGTTGGTTCTTATTTATTTCCACAGTCATTACAGCTTTAGTTTGTAATTATCTTTTAAGACAGGATCTCTTGCATCCAAGCCTGGGCTCGAACCCATTGTATCTCAAAGGATGCTCTGCCTCCACCTCCCGGTTCTGAGTTACAGATGTGTGACTGTTCATACTGTGCATAATAATACAGCACTTCTGAGATTCATTGTGAAGTAGTCCATCAGTGCTCAAGCCTAAAACCCATAAGTATTAGATGACAGAAGTTAGAGACTGGATCTAATAATGGTGTTTATAGAAAAATCACTTTGTCACTGAAAGGGACATGGACAATTTTTTGCTAGATTCTGCCACCATGTTTAATTTTCACAGTAACCTGGGTGTGTCCTATTGCTGTTCTCAATGCAGAAAGTCATTGTTGTGTTTGGACCCTAAGCCCGGAAAATTTTACCTCCCCACTCAAGCTCTCCCTTACCTGTTTGAGTGAAGTGGAAGGAGACAGAGTGCTTGGGCAGTGGACTAAAAAGGCTGGACCCAGGCCACTCATTGCTTCCTGCCTTCCCAGAGCACCTTCCAGCCACAGCTGTAAACTTGTGTCTCCGTTGGCAGAAGCATCACATCCCTTTCTCCCCAACAGGATTCCAACACTCTTTCAACTTGAAACCAGTGCACAGCATAAGCCTCAGAGGAAGTATTTGCTTTTCTCTTTGTCTTTCCCCACACTTTCTGTCACCCACTCACACATCAGACAAGCACTTCATTTTAACAGACTGTTTTATTCTGCCATATTTCCCATCCTATTCACATCATCATACTGAACTCATTCATATGAGCTCTTGATATAAAATTATCTATATGGCTTGTTTTTATTACCTAATAGCTCATTCATTCTTTTTAGTGGCTAAATCATATTCCATATTAAGGTTGAACCATAAACCCACACAGCTGGTATCCAGTCTGGAATTGTGCAATAATACATTTGCAGGACTCCAGTATTTTTCAGAAATAAAATTACCTATACCATATGGCTCAGTAGTGCTGCTAAAAATGCTAAACTAACAATTTATTTCCTTGGTGGGTCTGAATTATCAGAAGGAAGCAAAGCCTTCAGACAGTACATCCAAATGGAAGGAAGTTAGTCCATTGGAGACACCACTGAAGGAGATTGTGGGAGTCTATTTCCCCCCTTTTCTTTTAAATTTGCTCCCTGGCTGTCATGAGGTTAACAGGTCGATGCACCATGTATTCATAATTATGATGTAATGCCATCCTCACCACAGGTGCAACACAGCAGGGCCAGTGGGTCATGTAGCACAAATCCGAAAGAAGGGACCAAGATAAACTTTTCTTCTTTTTACCATTAACTATCTGTCCAGTATTTTGATATAGTAGCAGAAAACTGACTAACCTAATAACCCTCTCCCCTAAGCAAAGATCACTTGTTCTTGCAATTATTGAGTGAAAACTGTTATGAGTTGAGACCTGCAAAGCTCATAGGCATTTTCATTTTAGGGAAAAATGGGTGTTATTCATCATGGGTTGTTGGTTTGCGTAAGGATTAAGATCAGTGGGAAATCTGAAGGTGTGGATCTTTTGCTTAGTATTTATTCAGAGAGTATACATGGAAGGTTTGTGGCAGAGCTGTGATTAATATAAAATGAGAGGGCTAACTACAACAGATCTCTTCGGTGCCAGGATACTATGCTTCTGGTTTCAACCACCCACCTAGAGGCACTGCAAATAATAAAATCTATAAAGTATATTACAATTTCATGCACTCAAAATAAGAGAAAAAATAATAGGTTTCTTTCAATATTGTCCTTGAGAAATATGGTTTTGTTTCCTGTTGGGCTGCAATTTGCCATGTATCAGCATCCAAGGGCCAGGCTGATCAACCTGAAAATGATTGTTTTCTTTCTTTTCCTTAATGTATTGGAAGTGGATCTAAAGGAACCTTCGGGATGCAGGAGGGTTAATTATCCTGGCAGTCAGTTAAGCTTTGGAGGTTTTAGGCTATAAGACAGAGCCCTGAAAAAGACTCCCTGCTACCACAGCCTGCTGTGAGGAAACAGTCATGTGTTGCAACTACTGCAAATATTGCTCAAATTACCCTAAAATTCCCCTGTTTTTGTGTGCATCTTGGCTCCCGGAGAGAGGCACTGTGCTGAGGAGGTCATTTATTCTGTCACTTCAACCCACTCGGCAATCATGACAACTACATCTTTCACTCAGTCTAATGCAGAAGGCTTTTCAGAGAGACCTTGTGTGACCCAAGGGAAGTAATTATTCAAAATAGTCTTGCTGCTTGCTCTTCCAGTGAAGGCTCCTCTGCAGAGCCACTGAATGCTCCCCAAGTCCATCTTCACACTCAGGTCAGTTTCACAGATTTTCCTGAAGGACGGTGCAAATAAACAATAGCCTTGTGCATCTTAGAACTTCTCTTTCCTCAAGGTGTCTCAGTGCTATGGATCCAGCCAGGACTGTGGTCAAACAGCCCCATTGGCATCTCCTTTCTGCAACTGTTAGCAAGTCACAGTCCAGTGTCTCAGTGGTCTTTGGAATATTGACAATAGAACCTATGGCATAGTGTTGTTGTAAGAAGTAGGTCACTTAAAACATTGGAGAAAACACAGCATCATTCAAGATTAGGTATATCATTGAAAGAACTAACTCTCACTTCAGAAGACTAGAGCTAGAAATCCCTAGCACCTACATAATGCCAGTGTGCATGAAGGCTTCTCTGTTATGCCTGAACTCTGAAGGCAGAGATAAGGAATCCCTACAGTATCTATCAATGAGCTCTGGGTCAACAGCCCCTATCAGTGAGTTCCAGGCTTGATTGAGAGGCTTTGCCTCATTGAATAAGGTAGAATGAAATCAAGGAAGACTCCTGACTACAACTTGAGGCCTCCACACACATTCTCACACACATGTACAACTGCACACATGTATGCCTACATACACAGGAAAAATGTGTACTCACATGCATGCATACCACACACACATACACATAGAAACAAAAGAATAAGACAAAAATCATTTTTTAAGTATTGCTTTACAAATGAGATCTAGGCATTTATAAAGGTGAATAACTAGATTCTATGGCATAAGCTGAGCTAATGAAAAACATCAGTGCTATAATAAAATAAAGGTTAAAACTAGTAAAAATATGAACACTTTACCTTTTGAATTGAATACACCTAATTGAATACACAAATTATATATATGAGTATATACATATATTCTACTCTGAGTTAACTAATATTCATTATAAGCACATTTAAGTATTATATAATCACATACCATTCTGACACTGCTCTGGGAAGCAGGTGCTACTTATAAAATAATATTTTCAAAATACTTGTCTGACTAGAAACAAGAGAAATCAGAATGCAAACATTTAATATGAGAAAAGCTTATACATGTAGGAATGGATTTCACATTTCAATATATTGATTGAGACAAAAAATAAGACTGTAACTTAATTTATGTCATTCTCTTTTTGTTCCATAACTAATGTGTCCAAGGTTGCAACCTAAAAGTTAAACACTAAGGCTAGATAGAACAGTAATCTGAAAAACACATACATTGCTCCCGACATAAAGAGCTCTCAGATCCCTCTCATTATTACTTTGCACAAAACAGGAAAGAAAACTGATGAAGAGGCATTTACAGAAAAGTGATTTTATGTATTAGTGATGATACCAATGAGTTTTAAACAAAAGTCCTTTATAGGGATGCCTCCCCTGAAGCCACACAAAATGGAAGTGGTATCTTTGGAATCTTAAAACAGCATTCAGTAATGTCTTCCAGCTTGTCCTTTTAATGGATGATTTGTATGCAACACTTCCAAGTGAGATGAGAGCATTACAGACTACTGAATCAGATGTAATCATACCACGCACCCAGCAGGGGTAGCTGGAGAGAATAGAGGAAGAGTGAGAAATTGCATGTTCAAAATGTTTTCCTCTGAAACCTCCCAAACAACACTGATCGTGAGCACTGCCCCTCTTATCACACAGCCTTAGCTGGAGCTTATGTCTCTCACTTTGAAGGGAAAATAAAACACTACAGTAACTTAACCCATTTGGTTTAGGCTAATTAGGCTAACTCACTTTCTCATAATGTTGGATCTCAACGTAACAGCTGATGGCAAGTGGTAACACTACAGGTGTGAACCTGATGAAATGAAGACAGACAGCTACTCTTGAGGTTGGCTGTGGCTTGTTCTGTCTCTCTGATCTTTCAGAATTTACCCCAATGAACCAATGAAAGATCTTTACACATTATGATAGTCCAATCACTGTATAAAACACACACACACACACACACACACACACACACACACACACACACACAAATAATCACTTTATAAACAAAGTCTAGTAGTTATTGTTCATTATACGTCTGTCAAAATAATAGAGTAGGCATGGAGGTCTTTCTTATCCTACATAATTTGTGGCTTTCTTTCTGGTGGAATGGTAGAAAAATTAAGGCTCAAAATATGTTTTTTCAATACTAGTAAATATCATAGATACCATACATAATTAAATTCAGTTTCTTAACATTTCAAAATTGTATATTTTTTCTTATATTAAATGATGTTTAATGAAGAATTAAACTGGTTCAAGTAAGAATCTAACTTTTGCCAGCAACTTGTTGAAGGTGTTTCTTCTCTGACTAGAAGGTCTTTGATGGCATTGGGTCTTTGGCCATGAAACAATCAAACAACGTGATTTGCATTTGAAAATTTGGCCAGGCCATATTGGTTTTGATCACCAAAGGAACTAGAGGCTAAGAACATTGACCTAACAACCTCTGAGAGAGACAGGAGATTGCATACCCTTATTGAAGCTGTATGTACTAATTGATCAGGGGAGCTTCCTTAATAGTCCACGTGTTCTATATCTTTTGGGGTACTCTGATCCTACAGGAACAGGTTGACTAGCATTGCACTGAGGGCCCATCTTGGGCTCCATCACATAGATGGTGCTTTTTCTGGCTAATTTTAATCCTTACAGTTTCACCATAATAAATCTGAAAACATTTCAGACACAATGGCAAAAACCTGTGATTCCAGCTCTCAGGAATCTAAGGCAGGAAAAGAAGAATGCAAGTTCAAGGCCTTCACAGAATATATAGTAGAGCCTGTTTCAAATAATTAATAATAATAACAATGAGAATAAACAATGTTAAGTATACTGTGTTCCTCAACTGCAGTTTTTCTATTGCATTATTAAACTTATGGGTATTTTTTTGGGGGGAATGCAAGAATTTTATTCAAAGTGCAATGAAACCTGTTAACAGCTTAAGAGACAGGAAACTAAGACACCCCCCCTCAAGCCCAAGAACAAGCACAAGGAGGGCTCTTTCTAGACACTGTAGTGAGAAAGGTGCATCCATCTTCCTGTTTGACTTCCTTGGTATCACTGGGTTCCACCTCCAGGGTGATGGTCTTGCCTGTCAGGGTCTTCACAAAGATCTGCATACCACCCCTGAGACGGAGGACCAGGTGCAGAGTGGACTCTTTCTGGATATTTTTATCTGTCTATCATATACATAAATGATATATTATTATATGATATATTTCTCAAGAACACTAACATTCTAACTCTATGTATATGATAAAGAGATTATATATAATATATGATCATATAAATGCATTCAAATATGATACTCATTTTAAAGAATTCTATAACACAATGCAGTATCTGATAAAGCTAAATTTATAAGGTGGATTAGAAGCCTGAATCTGTAGAAGAGTCCAGCAAACTTGAAATTCAAAAAGTGCTGGTGTTTCAGTCTTCAGGCAGATGTTTCTTTTCCTCAAGGAGAGAATTCAGTGTTTGCTCTGGAGTCTTAAATAGATTGGTAGTATTTTAGCCACATTAGATAGGGCAATCTCTCTTCAAAGTCACTTTATTGGAGAGATCAACCTCTTCTACAAAATGCCCTCATGGTAACATCCAGACTTGCATTTGATTAAATATCTGAGTACTCTAGCCTAGACAAGATGATACATAAAACTAATAGTCACAAGGCTGAAGAGATGGCTCAGTGGTTAAGACTGGACACAAGTTTGGACCTCCATCTAATTCTGTTGATTCACAATCGCCCATAACTCTAGCTTCAGAGGGATCAGATGCTGAGCCTCCACAAGCACCAACAGTCATTTGCACATAACCATACACAGATACACATGTATACATAACTAATACTTTTAATTTTAAAAATCCTGATAATCACAGTAGACATCTGAGCTGAGAAAGGGAGGTCTGGAACTTGTGGCTAGTAAGAAAGGTCTTGTGAGGATCATGTTCACTTACTACATAATTGGTTAAAGTACAGATAGACCCACATAAATATATTGAACTAATCCTTGACAAAAGTTCAAAGATAATTCAAGAGAGAGAAGACAACAGTTTCAACAAATGTTACTGAACAATTGGAGGTAAAAGACAACAACAGAAAGAAACTAGAAGCACGTGCTATCTCATACATAAAAAAGTAACTCACAATAGATTATAGGGCCAAATATTAAAGCTAAACAACAATATTTCAGGAATGAAATTCATCAATTTTCACCCCATGCTGGTGGAAATACTAAGCTTCTACTCTGAGAAATCCTGGCAGCTTTTTACAAAGCTAAATACAGTCTTACCGTATGATCCAGCCATTCTGTTCCTAAGTATTTATCCAACTGATTTGAAAATTAATGTCTACACAGACCTGCTCATGAATGTTTATAAAGGCTTTATTCATAATCACAAAAATGTCCCTCAATAGGTGGATGGGTGAACAACTGCAGTACAGCCACATGATGGATATTTGATGTCTGCAATTAATGTGTTATGGAGCCAGAAAAGACATGGGTGACCCTTCAGAACATATTGCTAAGTGGATGAATCTGCTCTAGAGAAAAATACATACTGTCAAGATCCTTCATATCGCATTCTGCAAAATGCAAGCCTTCAAAGACCAAAAACAGTTCAGCAGTTCCCAGAGGACAGCAGTGGGGAGATGGGTCTAGGACTAGGTGAAACATGAGGGATTGTTAATTCACTGACTATTCTGTATTATGCTGTAATAATGGCTACAAGACTATATGTTAAAACCCATAAAAATGATTATGCAGAGCAAACAGTAATGCATTCAAAATTAAAGATTATTTAGGAAATTGAAGGATCTTAGAATACAGCCCCACATTTGACTACATTGACTAGACTGTAACTATTACAAAGTATCAGACACAGCAATCTTGAGAATTAAAACCACTAAAGAAACGTTACATAAATCATAACTTTAAGTAAATTTTGCACTAAACTCCTGGATGAATGCTCACATCAGCAGAACACAGATAAAACAAATTAACTGTACCAGTGTTTCTCAGTTTCTGGCACTCACAGGTTTCTCTGAATTTCCTTTCAATTATGTAAGTCAGGTTTACTAACTGTTCTTCACTGACTCACTAATTCTCACCATTGAGTTCAACATAATTTCTACCTATAGCTTGAAATCTTTATGTCCATCATTGGCTCCTGTACAGCTGTTGGTCTACTCTATTGTAATACTTGATAGAATTCCCAATATTCAAGCTATGCTGAAACATGCCTCTCTTAATCACTACATGTAAAATCTGGAAACCAGACCAGTTTTGATGTCCCCTTTCCCATAGCCATCCCCTTGATTTAACTGAAAAGTTCTGATAAATTCTTCTGAATCCCCCAAAGCTAACTGAGTAGTTTCATAATGATACTATTCTGTCTTCACACCGCTTTACAGTATGCCAAACATTCTGTTTACTCATCAAATTCTCCCATAAATATAGTGAAATAATGGTTACCTTACATGAGACTGAGTTCATATCATGCTAGCAGCTGCTAATCGTATGCTATTAACTGGAAATTTGAAGCCCTAAACCAACATTCTGCTACATCAGGTAGAAAACATTCTATTAATCTGTTTGAGAACTATGATTAATGGGGGAAAGCAAAATTCATTTTTAAAAGTCATGTGAAAGTATCTTTATGTTTCTAACTACTTTTGACAACAAAATTTCTTGCAACTAGTTCTTGAAAGTTCCTCAGCATAACCTTGTTTTTCTGACTGTTCTTCCTTAGCAATTGAGGTGCTTGGAATGAATGTGGAAATTATTTGTCTGTAGGAGAAAAAATTGTGTAATTAATCTTTAAGTACAGTTGACCACAAAATTGTCTCATGCTTCTAACATTTCTACATTTATCTAATGGCCTTTGTTCTAATGGACACTGATCACTGCAAGATGTGATGGTTCCGTTTATTGCTTCTTTCCTGTTGGCCATGTTTACAGCACCTGATACCTAACTTCCCTGACAACAACAAAATAAGTATTCACTTTATTAGTTATTATTTAGTCATAAACTTAGACCCTATCTCATGGTAGCTTTTGTTGTTAACAACAAGCAAGAAAGAACCTCTGGTGAGAAATTGCCTCCATCAGAAGGATCTGTGGACATGTCTACGGACACTTTCTTGATTGCTAATTAATTGAGACAGCCCCAGCCCACTCTGGAAGGTCCCATTCCTGGACATGTGGTGCTAGGTTTTGTGAGAAGAGCAAATCAGAGGGAGTCAACCAATAATCAACATCCTTTGAACTCTCTACTTCAGTTCCTGCTTCTAGGTCCTTGCTTGAATTCCTGCCCTGACTTCCTCCAGTAATGGACTGTGATGTGGATTGTAGGTAAAACAAACCATTTCATCTCCTAGGTGGCTTTGGTCTGCACTTTACCACTGCAGCAGAGAGCAAGCTAGGCCCCCCACTACTTTGCTGCTGCACTAAAATCCTTCTCTATTATTTCTCATGTGTCATGATCAACCCAATTCTTCTTGTTCTTAGATATTTGAACTCATTGCTGAGCTCTTTGCATCTAGATTTTGTTTTGCATTGATTCATATTGTTTTACCCATGTTAGAACTTCCAAATTCATTATTTTAAAATACCATTAACAGTGTTATAGAGGACAGTGAAGAAAAGGTAATACATTAAAATATTATTTTCAGGATATCTGTTTCTCACTTGGAGTAATTGTATTTTAGATGACAGAGAAAGCATTATTTGCCATGTGTAGGAATACATGCTGAGAACTTGGAGCACAGAGCATGCTGTAGCTTTCTCTTGATCCATAGGAAAATGACTCAAACTTAGTAGCATATAGCCACTTCTATTTCAAAGTTGCCACCATTGGGATCCAGAAGTTCTAGTAGGGCCTGGTAGTGAAACTTGTCTTCTTTTTATGCCCAGAGTCTCATATATCAGCCACACAGCTGATCAAGTTGCAAAAACTGAGGCTACAGAGTATACTTCCAGAATAGCTTATGTCTTCCCATGGCTGGTACTAGAGATTGTTCAACCCTGGGTTGCCCAGGACTATAAACAGAGTATCTCTATGTAGACAAAGGATGTAGCATGAGCTTCTTACTTTGTGGCTCCTAGGTACATAATGGATATCTAGGTATCAGCACATAATTTTGCTACTTGATAATTGGACATGGAAAACTCTGCCTATAAATATGATAAACTAATGCAGGGGAGAAAAAAATTTAAATGGATATACCTCACAAAGCAGTATCAAGTGAGGAAAAAAATAGCTGGTGATATGATTATAGCCTCAGCTTCTAAAGCTCTTGAAAAAAGATCTGTTCTTACTTGCAAGATATCCAAGACAAGTGGTCAACATTGAGGAGTGGTGATCAGGCTTGAGTTTCCATCAGCATGGTGAAGTCCTCTGACATGGTAAAGTCCACCTTACTTTGTCACATTAGCACAGTAAGACTTGAAAGGAAATGTGTATTGAGGGATAGCATGCAATCAAGGAAGTCCAGAAGGCAAGAAATATGATGAGCTCCCTGGAATGACAGAAATTTTTATGCAGATAACCTGGAATAAGTCCCTAAGGCAACCAGAATGTAATTTAGCAGGGTACATTAGGTGTTACCATTCTCTCACGTGGTAAGGAGTCTTGTCAAGGAAGGTAAAATAAGGTCAAACGGTGCATTCTAGCACCAAGATCAATTTATTTGTGGCTCAAGTAAGGAAGTCACATTTGACCTTATTTTGCCTTCATCACTAAGTCTTTGAAATCTTTTGTCCACTAGTAACCCACTTACTAGATGGTATAGCTAGACCATTAAACAACACACACACACACACACACACACACACACACATTATATTTCTTATGCATGTATTCCTGTGAGTATCTGGCTTTCTTTAAGATACTCTGAAGAAGGACTTCTATAAAAATAAAAAATAAAAAAAACCTACTATTTCCTATTTAGCCTGAGCTTCTTCAAATGTCTAATGAGGACATAATAAAAGCCATTGCTATTAGAGATAAAACAGTCATGCAGAAATCAGTTCTTAGCTTCCTGGTAAGGAGGTGGGAGTGCCTGGCATCGGTAAAAGCTCTAATACAATGAGAGTGAGCTTGGGATCAAATCATAGATAGTCTCATTGTCACAGTTTTGTTTGAACTTTATTTCCTCCTCATATGCTTCTTCCTTCCTACTT